ATTACAAAAACTGATACTGCTCACTTGTTCTTTACAAGAACAAGCGATTAGTATCAGTTTCGTGTGAATCATGATGGCAAGCGATGTTTTAAGAGTCTAATAGGTGAATTCCCTTTACTATTTTTGCTCATCTTCAAACTCGCTTTACCTCTGCCTCATCTTCTTTTCTTCTACATGTTTTGATTGGTCCATTCTCTGATTGAACTTGCGATTAGCTTCAGACTCAATTTCTTTGACTTAGGTGATGTTCGTCTATTCGTAGTTCCCTTAATTTTAGTTCCTGCTTCAATGTAGTTGGTTCTGTTTGTGTCTGCGCTTTGATTTTAGGTCTATTAATTATCTTCTGTATTCAATCAATAATGTTTGCACTTAACATTTGATTCTAATTGCCCAAATGATTTTGTTTTTGAGTCTGTAAATGTTCAGAACTTCCAAACTGAATGAATTAGAACTGTAGGGGTTTTAACTCAGGGGGTCTGCTAACAAAGGGTAGTGGTGCACTACTGAATTAAATTATAAGTACTAAGTAGTGGAATGAATTAAAAATAAAAAGGGACTGGTAGTGGCTTGCTTAATGCCCTTTTAGGAGGTGGAAATCAGAGAACATGAGGGATGTAATTAAAAGGCTAAAAAATACAGGTGTAAAAGGGTATACAGTCTGGAAAGGGAGGGGAACAGAAGTAAAAAAGGACAGAATACACCTTAAAAGGGGGATACTCACTGATATATAAGAAGCTAGGACAGGAGGGAGTTTGGAGAGAGAACAATAGAGAGTGAAGAGCTGAGAATACTCTGAAAAAGAAAAGGAGAAAACTACTGTTCCATTGTTGTTCTGCATTGAATTTTGAAACTTTCTATTCCTAGATAGTTTCTGATTTTCTGTAGTGTTGAAAAACGATTTGAATTGGTTTCGGAAAGTGTTTGTTCAAGTTTTCTATCCGTTAACTGATACATTGATATATCCGGGGCTATTCATTGTTTTCTCGGATAAAATCTGGGTTGTTTTCCTGCTTCTACTGACTGCTGATCTTCCATTTTCTTTAGTGTTTCTTTGCTATCATCAGGTACATATCCTTGACTTTAAGCATGTAAAGATTGATTCACGAAGTATTTCTTTATTGAGAAAAATGGAGATTATGTTCTCTTTCATTAGATGTTTCTTTCTTTTAGTTTCTTTCAGTTTGTCTTGTCGATTTCTATTTCGATATGCTTAGAGTACAATTGTTCTTTGAATCATGAGTTTTACATTGAAACTGTAATGGATTATCATGTAGTATTTACTGATTTTCATCTATTTAATTCTTAAGCTCTGTTATTGTTAGAAGTGTCCGTTAAATTTAAGATCTATGAATATAGTCTATTTGAAAATTCTAGATAGCCATCTCTATTAGAAGTTCGAGTAACTAGATTAAATGATAAAATGGGTTGCATGTTGTGTTAATTGTGCAAGTTTGAATTATCATGGCAATATGATTCTCCCTTTAGATATGTTTGAGCTGAATTTTGATTGAGTTTTTAAGTATAAGCAATTTGTGAATTCTTGTTCTGTGAATACATATGGAGGCATAAGTCAAATGGAAATGATAGAAGCTCGAGGGAAACAATTGTGATTAAATGGGATTGGTTTTGTCTTTGCTTACTTTGATTGAACCTGTTGTGTATGTTTATTGATATGGAGGGATCAATCTAGTTATTGCCTTTGTTAAATTAACTGTTGAGTTTGATTTCCAGTACTAGCATGCTAAATTAAAAGGAGGCTACTGCTGCAACATAAATAAATTTCTTGGTCTTTTCTCTACCCTTCGCCCTTTCTCTTCAAAGAACCAAATACGTTATTGGGTATTTTGGTAAGGGTTGTGAACGAGGGACTCAAGAGTCATATTAGCTAAGTGATTTTTTTTTTCAAATTTTGTGAATTCTTGAATGATAAATTTGCTCTATAATTAGCTATGGCTTGTAGTGTTGCAGATTCTGGTTTTCTATTCTTAGCCTCCAAACAAAGACCAATTCATAGCACTAGAATTATCCAAGTTGCTTCTTCAGGAACATATTGTTTAAAGTGGGAAACGATTATGTGAAATGCATGGCTTTAGACAAATTGGAAAACCACTACTTGATAAAGTTACAATGAAAGACGTTACTGAGACTCTCACAAAGAAGGTACTCGGGATTGATAATGGGTAGGCGAACTTTTAGGAGCGTTAATTAATAATTATCATAGCTAGGGGTACGATTTCCATGGCGTAGTTGTGGTACCTAATTTAAAATTAGTTTTACGTATATCCTTAATTCTTTTAGTTGAATAGTTTTGAGGTGTGCCATTCACACATAGGTGCCATTCACCTATGGCCATCACTTGATCAATCTTAATTCTTTAGAAATCGAGGTGCGCCATTTAGCAAATTTTCATGGCCCTCGCAAAGTTGCAAACGCGAAGTTACTTTAGGCGCTTTATTTTAATAAATTATCTTCCTAAACTCGGGTGCGCATTTATGTGACCCAAATTCAAATCCTAACAATGTTATATAAAATGTGTTGCGAACTGCAGGTGCATTTATGTGATGCGATTCAAAACGTGTTTTATGTGACGTTGAATTTTTTCAAATGAAAGCAGTTTAAAGTTAAGATTGCACATAGGTTCAAAATGCTTTAAGTCAGATAATTAAGCCGAATATAACAGTTGAGCGACCGTGCTAGAACCACGAAACTCGGAAATGCCTAACACCTTCTCCCGGGTTAACAGAATTCCTTACCCGGATTTCTGGTTCGCGGACTGTTAAACAAGAGTCAATATTTTTCCTCGATTCGGGATTCGAACCGGTGACTTTGGACACCATAAATCTCCCAAGTGGCGACTCTGAATTTCTTAATATAAATAAATCCCGCTTCGATTGTCATTTAAATTGAAAAAAACTCCCTTATACCCTTCCTTCCGGGGTGTAGGTAAAAAGGAGGTGTGATAATAAATACCTTCATCAAAAACCTGAATATGCTACTTCTTCAACATGGCATAATATTATCAAGGGTTGACATCATTGTCAATGGGGTATCTACTGGAGGTTAGGAACATGAAGACATATTAATCTATGGTCTGACCCATGGCTTAGGATGGGTACAACTCTAAGGTCCATGCTTATAGGTCCATTACCTAAGTCACATAATACCCATACTGTCTCTATTGTTCTCAAAAATTAATATTTGGGACTGGACGGATTTTGGTTTTGAAATTCCTCCTGATATAGAAACAATAATAAACAAGCAATACATCTCCATCTATGCTCAACAACATAATCAACTCCTATGGGACCTATCAACTACTGGCAACTTCACTGTGCAAACAATGTACAAAGAACTTACTGATAATAGCAAATATTCAATAGTCTTTTGCAATGACCTTCAATGGGTATGGAAACTGCCTGTTCAACCAAGGATTAAAAGCTTTTTATGGTTGGTTCTCCATAATAGACTACCTACACTTCATTATCTAAACTACATAGGAATTCCAATAAGTCCCATCTGTTCTTTTTGCCTAGCTAGCCAAGAATCAATAAGTCATATTCTTCTTCATTGCTCTTGCGCAGAACATTACTGGAATATCATAGGATTATGAAACATAAGTAAAAATATGCCCCTAAATGCTGCCCCTATGCATTGGTTGAATAAGCTCATTAGCCATAAAGGAATTAATTTTCCCCATAAAGTAAACTCAAAGACTTTTTTAGTTTCAAGTCTTTGGCATCTTTGGACAACTCGTAATAAATATATATTTGAGCATAAAGAACAAAAGCCTAATACTTTAATATCTTAAATCTGGCGATAGAACATGCATACTTGGTAGACTCAAAATACATGCTTACTAATAGAGTACCATTACATCTAAGATGGATTCCACCAACAATAATTATTATAAACTCAATATGGATGTGGCAACTTTTTCAGCAACAAACACAGATGGAATTGGCGGGGTTATTAGAAATCACAAGGGTGAGTGAATGGTAGGATTTGCTGGCCCAATTCCTCATGTGGACTGTCTATCTGCTGAATTGCAATCACTCATCAAAGGTTTAAGTTTAGCAATACAACTACGAATGCTACCACTGGAAGTGAAAATCGATGCAAAAGAGGTAATTACACTTCTAGATAGTCAAACTTCAAGGTATTCTAACTTAATTTGGATTGCAGGTACCTCTTGAGGACACTCCATGATCCAGTAGTCACACATGCGTACAGGGAGCAAAATAGTGTAGCAGATAGTCTTGCGAAACTAGGAAGTAGGATGCCACTTGCTGCTGTGTTGTACATTTTTGTTCGACCACCTTTTTCCATCTCAAACCAACTGTTAGCAGACCAGCGAGGATTCATATCCCAGCGCATGGTTACATCCACATTAATACATCAACTGGATGATCAAGCCGGCAATATATGTTTTGTTAATAATCATGTACCTAATGAGACTACTGGAATTTATTTTGCGAGCGTGAGTAGTAAAAATGCAGTCTCTACTAGTTTAGAGGATCGTCAGTGTGAAAATCCTAGAGGCGATACCTCACATAGTTATGCCTGTATGGATAGTATAGCTGATTGTATAGCTAACAACAACATATGTAATATGATGCATGAGCATCAAAACCCTGTACGCTTGTTTTAATATACTCCCTCCGGTTCACAATAAGTGACCAATTTACTTTTTCATTTTTGTTCAAAATAAGTGTCCAGTTAGGTAATCAAGAAAAAAATCAATTTGTTTTTACTCTTTTACCCTTATGTGCATATCACTAAAAAGTTTTCTCACTCATCACTATAACTATGTGACCAATATTTAATAAGGGTAGTTAGTCATACTAAGTATTTTTATATATGATTTAACATTTTTTTTAATGGGCGTGCTAAAAGAAATCTGGTAAGTTATTGTGAAGCGCACGGAGTATTACTTATCTTTTCTACCAAAAAAAAAACTCGGTATAAAAATTGGCCGGTTCCCTGATTACACCTTTGCGCAAGAAACCAAGAACCGGTTTTGTTCCGAACACATAAAAACCACTGCTAGACCACCACTTCAGACCATCCCCGGAGAAAACATCAATCAATCAATTCGGCGAAACATTAAGAATGTTGTTTCAACTGCCTCGCCTGACCAATGCTCTCAGAGAACCATTCGACGTCGATCAAGCTTACCTTCACCGGAAAGCAATTCTCCAAAATCTCAACTCTCGCAGGTACCAAAATCCCATCTTTTTCATTCTTCATTATCAAATTTTCCAAGTGTTTAGGTGCTTAAGAATATGAGTTTTTCTTGTTTTTCAGTACTGCAACTTCACTTGAAGAATCAAAACTTGCTCGAAAGATTGTATATCAATGGGACCAAGGTAATATCAAAATTTCAATAATAACGTTCTTGTTGTGAAATACATGGAAGTAAGTTTGAATTCTTTTAGAAGATTCATGCCAGAGTAAAAGTAATCAAATTATGATGATATTTTTCTTTATAGTCGATCCTAATTAGTTTATGATTGATTTTTTGTGTGTGTGATAAAGTAATAAAATTTTATTGAAAACGGTGAAAAAACAGCCTGTGCAAGAAGTTTCCCAAAAAGATATGGTTCTCATGGGTACACCAAAAAGAAACAAGGGATAAGAAGGGTTGTTATAATGGAAATATGTTGAAATTCTTGTATTCTCCCTTTTCTTCTCCAACACTTAATGAAGTGTTCTAATAATTGGTGCAGCTTCTCCTGAGTTGCGGCAAGCGTACAAGCAGTTTGTTGGGGCAGTGGTTGAGTTGATGAAGGGTGAGGTTGTGTCAGAGGAGTTTAGGGAGGTGGCATTCAATGTTTATAGGCTTTTCACCGGGACAGTGGTGGAGGATGAGGAACACAGGAGTATTGCTGAGAAGAAGTAAGCAGATAGTTACTAAATGTATTGCTTGAAGATAATATTTAGTAGCTCTTATTTTGTCTCTGTGTGTATTTATGGTATTTGTCTGATCTTTAGACTGAGGATCAGCTGGGGTGGAAGGGGTGAACCAATGTGTCGTGCTGACATACTGTTAACACTAATCAGGAAATAAAAGGCGAATATCTATGGATTTTTTCTTTCCTATGAATACTTTGTGAATGTCTGTATGCTGAGAAATTTTCCATGAATTGCTACTCTGCAAACTCAATCTTGTTATCTAAATACAGGCTAGATTTGCAAAAACTCGTGGGCTATGCAGTTTCGGACTCATTACTATCGAGAGTTGCTTCCTTAGCACAAAGATTGTACGAATTGCAGAATTATCACCCTGGAAATGAGACAGTCTCTTTACAAGAAATGTCTAATGGAACCACTGATGAAGTGGAATTTGGCTCGGACCTTGTCTTTAGACCTCCCGCGCGATTCTTAATTGATGTTTCTTTGGAAGATTCTGATTTTCTTGTTGAGCAGGATGATGCACCTTCTTCAAGTCATGAATCACAGTACGATCATGGCTCCTCAAATTTTAGAGAATCTGTATCTGGTGTAAATTTTGATTTAAGCTGGTTAAGAGATGCCTGTGATAAGATAGTTAGAGGTAATACTTCGCAGCTTCCTCGAGATGAACTGGCAATGGCCATATGCCGCGTACTTGATTCTGAGAAACCAGGTGATGAGGTAACAATCAGTCACTCTCACTTCATAATTTCTGCTGCATACTTTAGCCACACCTTCTGGCGCATCAGTTTTGTAAGCATCTGATATGTACTATTGTTTTTAATTTTGTTTTGTGTAGATAGCTGGCGATTTGCTTGACCTTGTTGGTGATGGTGCATTTGAAACAGTTCAGGATCTTATCATGGTAGAAATTTGAAGCGGTGCTCTAATTATTATGGATCTCCATAGGATATATCATCATATTGTTCTTTAAACTTTACGACGCATTGAAGTAAATAGTATGTACCTGAACTGGTGCTCTAATTATTATGGATCTCCATAGGATATATCATCATATTGTTCTTTAAACTTTACGACGCATTGAAGTAAAAAGTATGTGCCTTACCTAGGGTGTGAAGTAGTCGTGTCTGATGATATGTTGTAGGATTGCTTGAGAGATTATAAATGCGAATGTAGGCCCCATACTATTCATGAGTTGAGTTCTCCAAAGTGCTAAATTTATGGTCAATAGGAGCAGTAAGCTATTCGGTAGAGAACCATTCATTTGCAATATGGTGTTCCTTAAATTTAATTTTTCTTCTTTTCTGCTTTTCCCCTGAAATTTAGTTCCTCGTATCTCAGCACAGAAAGGAAATTGTTGATGCAGTCCATCATGGACTACATGCACTAAAAGCTGACAAGATGTCTCCAGGGGGACAATCACGCACACCTAGTTATGCTGTTCAGGTAATAATAGTTATACTACTATGATAATGTCACATACATGCAATGCATACTTGGCATTTGAATTTACTTGTTATTAATTGTACAGGTAACTGTTCAAACTGAGTCTGAGCGGCAAATTGACAAACTTCGTCGGAAGGAAGAAAGAAAGCATAGACGAGGAACAAATAATGGGGTTGAGGATGATTTGTCTGCCGTGAGTTTTAGTTCTTTACTTCATGCAAGTGAGAAGAAAAACATATTTGAGGACCTCATTGGTCATGGTGAAGGGCCAAACACCTTAGGTCCTACAGCCCTTCCTCAAGGAACTATCAGAAAGCACTACAAAGGATATGAAGAAGTCATTATCCCTCCAACACCAACTGCATCTATGAAACCTGGGGAGAGACTGGTATTTCCCTCTGCTGCCACTATTGTTTTTCTTCGTTTATTGCTGCTCTTCCAACTACTTATCTACTTTGGCTTGATTTGTGGAAACACTTGTTAGTGCTGTTGTCCGGTACTTCTCATTTCTAGCCTTACACACACACACACACACATATATGTATGTATGTATGTTGTTGTATTAAATCTTTTTAAAGGAAAAGAAAAAATAGTAATTTTCAGAATGCTTCAACCTTTTCTATGCCCTGAGCCGAGGGTCTATTGGAAACGGCCTCTCTACCTCCACAAAAGGTATGGGTAAGGTCTGCGTACAAACTACCCTCCCCAGACCCCACTGTGTGGAATTATACTGGGTATGTTGTTGTTGTTGTTCTACCTTTTCTATGCATTCAATACTTATGCTTGAATATGTTCTCCAATGGAGGGTGTATCTGTAAATCAACTTATACAGCAATTTATCTTGTCACTGTTCAGCATTTATATGATAATGCATCTTTTCTTTACGACCAAAAGTAAAAATAAAACAGAAAAAGGCTCCTAACATTTGATGATATTTTACTTATAAAAAAATATTAAATTTTTTTGATCTCTCAACTTCCTCCTATCTTTGTTCTTCCTCTCTCTCCGGCCACAATATCCACTATTGTTTTAGGTAGCACAGAGAAAACGAAGCACAAGTCCTACAGTTCATTTTCTCGACTCTGTAATGTTAGGACTGAATCTCCGGCTGCATGTGATGTGAAGAAAGCCATCTTCTTCAATACCCTGATAGTGTAAATTGTCTTGCATAGAGAATTGGTTCATTTCTATGGAGGATGTGTGCCCAGTATGATCTAGTCAAGAAAGATTTTGCAGCAGACACTTTAGATCTTCCTATCTGCCTTTTTTGTGGGATTATATGTAGCTGTTTCTCCGGAGAAAAGCTTCAGTTCCTCCATTTCCAATTTGAGTCGATGTTCTAGCATATATTCCAGGATGTCCCATGAGTATCCATCCTAAAAAGTTAGGCACAATAGTTTCCCTGTCATTCCATGATTACATATATTCGGGGTTGGTAGGCATTGGCTATCTGGGCTTGTGCTTTGAGTTCTGGGGGTTGCTTCTCATTTGGATGTTCAAATGTGGTGCTTGGACATTGAATTCTCATATTGGGCACACGTTTGGGACGTGGGCTTTTGGAGAGGTGGTTTCTCTTTGTTAGTCGTTTGTGGGTATTTAGTCTTGTACTGAAATGCTATGCTGCTCGGACTCGGTTGTATGTATCCAAATTGGATTCTTCATCAAATAAATTTTAGGAATCGGTGATAAGGATCCGAGTGCGGGTATAGGTGTTGGGATACGGCCAATAAATGTATGTGTGTGTAGACACACACCCGATTAATTAAATTTATTGAACTAAAACTAATAAATATTTGTTCATTATAAACACCAATAATTTATTCATAAAAATGTGTGTGTGTATGTGTGTGTGTGTTATATGTTTATACACACACACTATTAATTAAAGTTATTGAACTAAAACTAATAAATATTTATTCATTATAAACACCTAATATTTTATTCATAAAATGTCTTGTGTGATAGCAAAGCGTTCTCATGCTTTATGTAACTTTATATGTATATGACATAAACCCAAAAATCAAACTAAATACCAATTAATATATACTTCTTGTTCATAGATGTAGTCAAAACACCCAAGGTAAGTTAACCAAATCTGTTGTGGATCCCACATCTCCACCCTGATTTTGAAGGGTCTGAAAACTAGGGTGTAATAGGTCAACCCCCCC